AGTGTGGATTTAGTGTGTGTTAAGGGCACTGCGCTCTGGCGTTTTTAAGACCTGGGACAGTCTTGCGCAGTTCCTGTCGCGCGCACGCGCTCTCAAGTGGCCAAGACCGCAAGTGTGGGTATTTGGACAAGGCACAAGTTTGTATTCTGAAGATACACATTTAATAAACAGTCTCTCTCTTCCAGCTATAAACAGACCCAGGCGAAATCACGATATCACACAGACTGAGGACGAAAAAAAAAACAGGCTGTTCAATACGTTCAATATTTATCAAGTATATGACAAACGTTTCGTTTCAGCTCCTCTGTCCTCCAGTTTCATCCTTTCATCCCAAGAGGCCTTGTTACAAAGAGAGGATGCGAGGAAAGGACATTTAACAACTGAGAATCACTGAATAAAGAACAAGGCTGGCAATCAGGCCTGGCTGAGTTTTACCAGCTGTCTCCAATTATCCTCTTAATTGGCTTGATTTAATTAGAGAGAATTGCATATTCAAACACTGCCACTATGTACAGTCAGAGAATGTACTGCGTTTGATGAAGAACCATGTACACCTGCTGTTAAGATGCATATTGCTGAATCAATCACAGGTCAAGTGAGGCACATTACAGCTCACTCATGCTATGGAAACATGGCTCCTGACTCCAACCGTGACACCTTTCTTTGAAGGATTCTGATGATTCTGTCACCACCAGTGTTAATTTCGTTGAATAATTTTCGGCATAATTCTCGTCAACGTCATTTTTTTCACTGACGACAACAAGACGATAACAAACTAAAATTCTTTTTGAATGACAAAAACTATGACGGAAATTTATTGACATTTTCGTCAATTAATAAAAACGAGACGAAAATGTTAGGGAGGGACGATTTGGGAAGAGATTCATTCAATTTTAGAACGAATCTGCTGCATGGTTCGGAGGTTAGATGCGTACATATGAACCGGCGGGACATAAGCTAACATACACATGCTGAACGTCGCATAAAACGTTCAAAAATGTCAATATGTGGGAGTAAGAGAAGAGCAGACATATGGATAAATCTGACGACGCAAGAGAGAACTCAATTCGGTCCGGTTTTCTGAGCGCAGACACTGAAGCATATACACACACAGAAACGTGTCTCACAGCGCGCGAGTAGGCCTACTCTTTCACGTCGCATGAACGGAGAATTACACACAAAATGATGTCGAATTGTCCGTTTTGACGAGTATTTGCATAAACACAGTTGATTATGTCTTAAGTGAACGTAAACAGTAGGAAGAACGTGT